ACAGCAATCAGTTCAGTTTCAGTTTGTACAACCATTAACCACCTGTATTCCTGCGACAGCAATGCACTTTTCACATTCCGATCACCTACTCAGAGACATTGAATCCACTATTGAGCATGGTAGGTGTCTGCACCGGGGGTTTCCTGTAGAACCCACCTAATCGTTATTTGCTATTAAACAATTTGTGCACTTTTACATAATGAAAGCGTCAGGGTAGGCGATCACCCCTTGTTTTGTTCGTTGTATCTCATCAGAAACGTCCGGAAAGCGAGTGCTAAAACCCTAGTTTCTGTCTCACGAAGAGGAAGTTAATTCATAAAACTGTTATGATATTAGCCCCAAATGATAGGACTACCCAGATTAACCCCACTTGCGAATAAATTAAACTTTTTGCGCAACACCTGCTCCCGAAATTGTCACTTACCTGTGATATAATATGCGCTGTAAGTGAGTAATAGATAGAGGGGTAAGAAACACATTCGCTCTCAAAATTATTGTTTCTTTTGTACTCATCACATTATTAAAAAAACATTCACTTTATCCCTTGTTCTTTATTGCTTGGTAACTGTGCCAGTTATATTTTCTCGTGAGTGATTGTATTTCAACTACGGAGGACCGGTCAGCCAGTGTTTCCTCATCACTTCGTGTCCCGATGGACTCTCCATCCTACACCGTCGTTCCCCGCCGTCGTTTGTTCCCCTCCTCGGGCCTTGTAGCGTCTCGAGCTGAAGGATACCTGTTGTGCATGTCTGTTCACTTCGCTGTGCTGCGACAGCCCGAGGTACGTCCGTATTATAGTACAAGTATAGACAGAGGCCGGGTGCTGAAAAATGCAAGCATCAAATTTGGACGTATTGTGAATATGGACTTCGGGTCAAAGTAAGTTTGGTGGCTTTTCGATGGATTGCATTTCCCAGTCGAAGGAAACCGATTTGTTGGTTGTGTCTGCATTGTATTGGGTGAATTGCTTGATCGGAGTCAAGAATCAGTTTAGTATTTGTTCCGTCATACACTTGGGGTCAGACACAATTTTATTATTCACCACGGTCCAAAGTGAACATGCTTATGATGTATGCAACATTCAAAGCACTAAGGTATCTGGAACGATGTTTTGTCGGCAAAGCTGTGCAACCATTTGTGTGCAGTCGAGGACTGACTTTCGATTGAGCTTTATTATGCCAGTGCAATGATACAAGAGTGTGCGTATCGTGTTCAGGTTAGCTGGTCTGCGTTCAGGTATGCTTGATGAATTCTCATATGCCGCTATATCGAACGTTTGGTTTGGATTCAACAACTTGAAAATCGTTCAAATAGTTAATTGGCAGATTTTAAGTTTGTATGTCGATTGTGAAAAGTTCAGTAGCCTCGGTGGGAATCGAACCCACGCATGGACGCCGCCTACACTTTGTACGCGCATGCTCTACCAGCTGAGCTACGAGGCCACACCGGAAGCACTGATCTTTTCGCATTCGAATTTACCCATCCAACTTGAAAATCGTTTTGACCTCAGAACAACAACAAAAATACCAGCAACAATAACAGCAATACATATATTGATTCAACTCGTGCAGTATCGTGACTTTCATCATATTCATTTCTCTCAACACTTCCTGTTTCGAGCCTCATTCCCCGGGTTAAACATTTGACATTGCACCATATTGCACACAACAAATCGATACTAATAAAAATGAATTCTAGGCACGTTGAAAGTATCGTACTTTCATTTTGTCAATGATCTATTCACCCTTCTTTATTTTTGAGCACTGGCGCCTCTTGTTTTTTTACGGTGTCCACCAAGTTTACTATAAGAAAGCACTTGCCAGTTTGCTTTAATGCATGTCACACACTGGTCACTAAAAACCATTGTTGAGACAGATAACTTATCCGTGTTTCTAACAGGGACTAGTTTTTAATTACAAGTACTGAATGATAGATAGTTGATTGAATGTGACGCCAAATTTAACCCATCCAGAAATTGCATAAATCTGGGAAACAAATAATTAATGAGATCCTACTATGAACATTGAGCGAGATGTTGTACTAACCGTGATCTGGAAAAAATAAGGCTTCCTTGAATGATATTTTGAGAGTGACTGACACTTATCGAACACCTACTCAGTCAGTGCAAAACGTTCGCGCTATGCAGATTGACTCGTATGGGAGACCAACAACAGGACGCTCAGTATTTGTTTCCCATTCGTCTCATTGGGTGAAAACGGTCATTTACTTATTCTGACTGCCGAAGCATAATTCATTGGTAACCCGCGGTCGACAGAGTAGATTTCTCTGTCTGCTGCATTGTTCCTTTGACGTCAAATGTATGGGCGACGCGAGTTGAATTTGCTGGTTAAATTGATGCGTGCTCTCCTTGGTTTTGTGTTCAATAGCGCGTTCACATCAGGTGACCTCAGCTCGGAGTTCCATTTGTGGCATCGTTTTCCAAACGGTAATGTGTGAAAATTGCGGCTTGTTCACCTGGACTATCTTCCGTGTTCGTGGTTTGCAGCTTTCATCAACTGTGATCGACTGCAACCATCGCCTTGCTTCGATAGGATCGATTGTTTTATCTATTTCCAGAAGAATTCCGTTGATTTGCAATTAACTGAACTTATGTGAATATCAGAGTAGCTGCAAAATCCAAGAACTGCGTTGTCGGATTTGTGCGCCTCTCGTATACATTGTTCCTCGGTTTCAACTATATGCAAAATTCGAATGGGTACTTCATTCAATCTAAGCGTAGTAACACTATAAAACACTCATTCAATGAGGTCAAGGTCATCTGTCGAAGGTCAATTTTTGTTTCTTAGAATATATTATTAGTCCCTTTCGGATGAGGGATGTTACATGAGAACTTTGTGGCCAAAAAATGTGTCAATTTGTGTGAGCTAGTACATTTTCAGTAATTGACTTATATAATGTGCACTGAACGAAAAAATAAGCTATTTAGAAATTCATATCTGAGCAGTAGCTTTCTAACTACTGCAAATGTTATAGTGACATTCAAGGTCACTGGGATTTGAACGTTGTTAAAAGAAACCTGAGAAAATTACACTCGGGGATAAAGTTGGGAATAAATACTATTTACCCATAGCTACCGATATACACGTATGATGTTGGCAGCTGAAATATATCTCCAGAATGGGAGTCATGTTTCCCGCATTCGATCAGTACCTGTAATACTTAAGTTAATAGTCCGAATGATTGACACCTATGATTGATCTTTCAAACAGGGAATCGCCATATTCCTCGGATTGCAATCTTACAATTTCCATCCGGCATTGTTGTTTATTTCCCTCTCTTCGTTGGGTGTTTTGGAATAACTCCTAGTGTTATATTCCGAAAATGCGGTGCTGGTCGAGGAGAGTTCTGTATTGCAGAATACAGATGGAGGGTCACTAATTTTGGATGCATAACACGAAAAGCTCATCAGAAACATGCCTTCGCAGCACATCGCGACACATGGGGCAATGGGTATAGCAGGCAGTGTTTATTCTTCCCAAATATATTACTTGGTCCTGGATGGTCTTGTTCTATTTTTAATCATTGAAAGTTACCGACTACTCACAAGTGAGTAGTATCTCACAACACTAGTAAATTAGCAATGTCTGTGCAACTGTGTTGTAAACTGTATACCTCAACACTCCTGCAATCGGAAATTGGAGTGTGTTGTTTTCGGGATTGAAAAAAGGTGGTTTATTTTCTGAGTCATTTCTTTCGTAATTTCTATCTGACCATAATCGAAATGCTGAATCTCCTGTCGGTGACATCAAACATTTTGCGAAAAAAACTTGCAAAACTGCACTCCTTGTTCACATTAATTTCACTGGTCACGTGGGGTTGTAGAGTATATTAATGTTTATTTTTTAGATACCACGTGTTGCAAAGAAATGAATATGTTCCTCTTTATTATTATTATTATTATTATTATTATTATTATTGATCATGGGTCGAATACGCTGCTTTAAGCAACTTCAATCCAGATTTAGCTGAACTGAACTGATAAGACCATTTTTTAATTCAATTACCGCTTGCAATACATTGCTGCCAATGGTATTATCTATTTGTTTTATTGGTTTAACCAGGATGTTTGTGTCTTTGTATCTGTTTCTCTAGTAAAATGAAATCGATTGATCAGATAGTTAGCAAAAACGACAGATAAGATATAGGTAGTTTAGAATGAGCTGCATTCCCAGATGAATAATCGTTTAGACTGGATGCATTTCTTCCAGCTCCGCTTACTGTTCCGAACTTGCTTGTTAGTAGAATAAATAGGGGACATCAGTGGGTGGAAATGGCCTAACCAAATAGTCTCAAGAGATACATGCTAATATGTTGAGTTACGCCCCAGACAATAACAACAACAACATGCAGCACATNCTCCGATGTTTAAGTTTTGACTTCGAGTAATGCAGGCAAAATGTATCAGGAAGCCAAGTCACAATTACAAATCACCGCTAAAGCTGTTAATCATTGATCGATGAGGTTTTCAAATTTCAATTTGAAGGTTAGTCAGTTGTCTTTCCGGTGGGTACACTAAATCATGAGTATGCTCTGCAAATGAGACTCAAAAAAGAACCGACTAATGGGTCGGGTTTTCTTCATTATTCTCCATTATTCGTAAGGTCTCTGATTGACTGAACACCAGGATGTTCCCGGCCACCTTAAAAGGTTGCACGGATTAGCGGTGTGTGTGCCCGAGTTCTGTTGAAAGATAAATGAATGATCACGAGTGCTTGGTGCCTCTGAACAACCGAATGGGCTAACCCAAGCTTGATACTCTATAAACGGTTAATTTCAAAAGAGGCACAAATAAAAGCACCATTGTTGTGGTTCGTACTCAGACTAGTATTTCGTATACGTATCGGATTCCGCGCACTAATAGTTCGACCCAGAACTTGGACTCGAAACGAAATCAGAATTCAACTCAGAAGCGGAATGGAATTGTAATAGGCGGAAATCAGAAATATACAAGGATATCGTGTTCAATAAAACAAAAGAGTTCATAGTTCATGAGCAATCACCACATCCGCCGCAGCTTGAATGAAGCTCCGTTCTTCTGTAATCAGGGCGGGCTTCGAGGAGTAATCGTTCAGGTCTTCTGGGTTCTTCTGTACTGTTTTCGACATTTGAACGGGGATGTAATTCCTCTGGAAAACACTCAGAAATAAAAGGATTAGTAGGTTCACAACTAGTATCAGGATTGGGCAAATTACAAGTTACTTGGTCTACATGTCTGCGATGTACAGTGCCATCATCTAAATCCAATATGCGACATATGCTTTGTCCCAGATTGTCCAGTACAATGCCCCTGGAGGGTCGTTAATCGTTACCACGATGATACACGACTTCCGCAGACTGTAAGCGTAGAAGATCTTTTCGAAGTACTCGAATCGTAAACAGCTTTGCTGGACTGTGTCCCGTAGTTGAATGTACTGAGTTACGGTATTGCATCAGAAAGTTATCAACGCCTCTGTCCAGTTCGTTGAATGTATTGGGATTCAAAGAAGCAATGGCACTCTTCAGCGTGCATACGAAGTTTTCAGCTGCGCCATTGGATTGCGGATGTCGGGGTGGAGTGAGAACATGCCGAAAACTCACGGAGTTCAACCAATCAGTAACTTTCTTGGCAGTGAAATGACTTCCATTGTCAGTCACGATAGCATGCGAGACACCTTCTCTACTGAAAGTTTTCCTCAGTGCTCGAATAGTAAATTCTGAACTGGGAGTTGTGGCAAAGTACACTTCTGGTCAACGGGAATAGGAATCAACGATCACCAATGCGTAACACTTGTTAAAGAATGGACCACAGTAATCCACATGTATTGTTTACCATAACTCGGATGATACCGGTCACGGAGTCCACTTCAAAGGCTGTATCTGAGTTTTGTGCACACATTCAGCACAGGATTTAGCAACACGATTCAGATCATGATTCAATTCAGGCCACCAGCATGTGAGACGAGCAAGAGATTTCATCTTTTCAATGCGGAGATGATCGGAATGTAAGTCATTGAGAACAGCAGTACGTAATGTCGGAGGTACGATAATGCGATCGTTGTAGCACAAGAAACCATCACACGTCACAGAAATTTCCTCACGACGTTTATAGAATTCCGGAAATCAACGCTTGATATCACCTCGCCAACCTCGACGGACACAGGAAATGATAGCGTGGTAATATTTCCTGGTCTCGCGAACTAGATCAGTTCGGCTTACCGAGAGCGGTTGATTGAGTAGACAATCACCCGTAGAAGCCTCCTCTGGGATGTCATAGCGTGATAGATAGTCTGCATGTGGAATGGACTGCGTACTGCGATGATGGATGTCGTAGGAATAAGCGGATAACGCAATACTCCATCGTTGCACCATGGCAGCAGATGACTTAGCCAGGGAACGTTGAGGGTTGTAAATGAACTGCAGGGCTTCATGATCACTTACAATAGTGAAATGAGTACCATAAAAATACTTGGCATACGCGTGACAGCCCAATAGACAGCTAGAGCTTCTCGTTGAGTTTGGGAATACCC